TTATTGGGTTTTATAAAGTGGAACGGGGGAGGGGGGGGGGGGGGGGGGGGGGGGTGTTCGGTCGGCGATCTGTCGTCGGGATTTTACTAATTTAGATCCCGCGCGATCTGGGACTCCTGGAGCGTAATTCGACATTTCGAACGCAGCCACACCAGCTCTGTACGGGGAAACTCGACGCTGCATCCAGCGGCGGTATGCTGTGTTCCGAAGAGCAATACAAGGAGTTTGACGCGTACCTGGGTTCGGCGATCTGTCGTCGGGAATTTACTAATTTAGATCCCGCGCGATCTGGGACTCCTGGAGCGTAATTCGACATTTCGAACGCAGCCACACCAGCTCTGTACGGGGAAACTCGACGCTGCATCCAGCGGCGGTATGCTGTGTTCCGAAGAGCAATACAAGGAGTTTGACGCGTACCTCTGGTGTAAGCTGTCTTGCCCCCCCCCCTCCCCTGTTCTGAATGCGCTGCCGATGAACCAGGGAGAGACGCAGTCGAACAGAGCACGGGAGACCGAGGTCAAGCTACTGGGCGGGCTCGATGCATACCGAAGACATGCGCTGGCAAATTTGCGCCTCAAGACCGTCATCAAGGTGCGAGACGGTGTGGGAAGAGGGGACGGCATTGTACCTGCTGTTGTTCTGCTCAACTTAGAGGGTGCATTCATCCGCAGCCAATTCCCCATGGTGCTCACCACTGGTCCGGTCCAATTCTGTGACGACAGGAGAGTCATGGAGGAGCCGTGACAGGCCTAGCATGCTGCAGTGCAACTCCTGGGGCAGGAAACCTGGTAGCCAGCATCGGCTCGAACCATGCTACGGTGTACGATGGCACCCACCTGGCCGATCACGTCAGCGTCGCCGTGCAGTTTGTCAACTCTGCCACCGCCCACACGCCTGGCGGGGTGAGTTGCCTGTGGCTGCGGACATGATTGGCCCTACTCACTCGCTGCCCGCCTGCACCCTGCCACCAGAACACCATAAAAGACCAGTGCCCTGACTGTCCCTTCCCACAGATGCCCCATTTCATGCCTCGTCGCCATCCCTGCCACAGAACCTGCGGGCAGCTACATGGCTGCACCCCATGCCTGAGACGACGGAGCCAGGCTGCCATGGAAATGCACGGCTGGCGATTGCCGGGGACGATGCCGCTGTGTCCATCATCTCCATGGCTGAGGCGCGCGTGACGACGCTCCTTCAGGGGCATGTGGCAGCTGTCACAGACCTGGCTGCCAATCCTTCCCAACCAGGAGCATTGGCGGCCCTTTCTTCAGACGGTTCCGTGGCACTGTGGGACCTCGGATCGGAGCGACAGCGAGGACCCTGCAGCACCTCGCATGCCGCCAGTCTGGTGAGGACGGGGTCTTGGTGCCAGGTGCTCAGGGATGGTTTATGTTCCCTGTGTGGCTTGGGTCTGTCTTGCGTGGGTAGGCAGGAGTGGCCCCTGCAGGGACAATTCTGCTGGCCGTGTCCAGCGCAGGGCAACATCATGACTGCTCGCCTCCCCTGCTTGCATCTGAGTGGCAGGCATGGAGCCCAGATGGGGAGTGCCTCTTAGTGGGCACGCGTCGTGGCAAGCTGTGGAAACTGTCTCCCAGTGGCTCTGCTGATATTGCCTGGGACAAGACGGAGCTGCCCCTTCCCAGCAAGGCCGGCTTCCAGTCTGCCGCCCTGGATTGCCTGGTATGCAAGGGCGGGGTGGTGTGTAGAGCCAGCTCTGTAGGGGGCTCAGGTACCGTGGCTTTCTACCTTCCCTTGGTGGAGGAGGTTTAGTAGCCTCTATGCTGCCCAAACCGATTGTGATGCACACAAGCTTGTGCTGCTTGTCCTTCAAGACCAGTGATTCCAGAGCCATTAGGCAGCAGTGTGCCACCCCAGCTCCAACCTCACTCCTCGCAGCGACCTCTCCAAGGAGGCCGCCTGGCGATCAAGGCAGCAGACGGTCGGATGGCCGTGCTTTCCTGGCCCTCTCTCGAGCCAGTGGCCACCTGGCGAGTCCCAGATGGCACGTACCCGGGCTCAGGCTTGGCTGCAACACCAGATGGCAACTACATTGCAGTTGTGAGTGTGGGGAGGCCTGGGTGAAAGGATTCAAAGTAGGGTTGATGCTCTAAACCAAGCCAAAAAGCATGCTGCCTGGGTGGAAAGAGAAATATGTTCAGCAGGGCAGAGCGGTTTCCAAAAGGTGAGTCATCCCTGCATACGCTGCCTTCCAGAAGCCAGCAGTCAACTCTTGATGCTCCTGTACAAGTACCCACAGGGCAACATGCTGGGTCGTTCGTTCGTCCATTGCACTGCGACTGGCAAGTGCTTGGCAGCTGTGGAGCCTGTGCGTCTGCACGAGCCGGTGACCAGCGTGGCGCTTTCCTCTGATTGCCGGCACTTGTGGGTCGCACTGGGCCTGGGCTTCATCTTCAGATACGAGTACCTGGGAGCTTTGGAGGTGAGGTGGAGTGCAAAGTTGCCTTGGGGACTTGAGGGCTCCTTCTTATTCGTCTGATATGGGACCTTGTGGGTAGCTATCACACCCAGAGCATATTGTTGCCCCACCAATGTTCAGGACGACAAGGAGAACTCGGCGAACGTGGAGGAGGACACGAATCGATCTCAAGCTCTGTGAATGGATGCATGAAGTGCGGCCTGATCAATTTTTTATTGTTAATATTTATTGCACAGGGAAGTATGCAAAGAGGGAGCATAGGGATCCCTTCCATGGGACCTGGACAATAGACAGCCCCACGCGGAACCCAAGTCATCGGCAAACGTATACCTACGCCAGAGGTTTGATTTGTAGATGCCCGTGAATGAAACGACCATAGTATCACATTAGACATTGTGACTAACAGCCAAGGCGACCTCTTTCTGAACAATCGGATGACTGAAGTTTGGGAGGCTTGAATATGCCTACCGCCGCAAGCTGGACATTGCCGGCTGCAGAGGCTCCCCACCTATTCTGGTGTCGCGCCATGGGAGCTTAACATGCCACTCAATCACAATGTCAAGGTTTGCAGGGCATGCTTGATTCTCAAACGTCGCTCACAAAGCTCAATCCCCTGATGGAAAGATTGCTCCCCATCCCCCACGTCACCTTACAGCTCACCTTTTGGTGGAGCTGGTTTGAGAACCTGTCGGCTTCTGTTCGGTCAGGGGACGCGTTGTCAGCCTATATCTACCTCATCTCCAGACGCACCTCCACTGTGGGGATCATTCAGGGCATCAATGGCATCTCACAGGTTGGCCCAATGATGGTTGGTGGAACACCTTGCTTCCCCATTGATGTGGTAGTACCGTGCATCGTCGACGAAAGGAGCATCTCTGTCCTCAAAGTACAGAGCATATGAACTGTAAACCCGCAATCCATGCATACATCTGCAGCTGGCCGCCGCTGTGCCTGCCGGCTATCTGTGTGACATCCTGCGGCGGGACATGGTATTACGCTCTGGAGCCGTGCTGGGGCTGCTTGCAGCAGGTACCCTGGCTACCACCATGAGCCTGGCCCCCACGATCGTCAATCTTGCGGCGTGTGCTGGCCTGCTGGGCATCTACCGCGGCATTCACTCTGTGGCCATGGAGTCCATCTTCGCAGACAGCGTCGAGGCGGGCCGCAGGTAAGGGGTTGCTCCCACTGTTTGCGTTGGATTGGGAACTCATCAGTGTAGCGACAGAGCCACTTGAATTGAATGCGCTGGGATTGAAGCATGTTATTCCCTTCTGGGATCAGCAATATACCTGCAGATGGATCTGGGACAGATTTCCGCCAACCTCTCCTGCGGCAGCACCCTTCTCACTCGTCATCCCCCTCCCCTCCATTCCCAACTATGAGCAGTTCACTGTACACCAAAAAGTACATCGTGACCGTGCTTGCCGCCGGAAGCGGGCAACTTCTTTCTTTCTTCGTCTTCCTGAGGCTGGGAAACCGCTGGCGCACGGGGGACTGCCGGGCCGTGGTCGAGGCAGGCCTGCTCCTCATGCTGGCACCCCTGGTGCTGATGCTCTTCTTCAACGACGACCTTGCCCTGGACCACGCCAGCGAGGCCGTGACGTGAGCTGCAGGAAGGGTTTTGTTGGTATGCAATGAATGAGGAGGGGAGAGTGAGCTTCATCCGGTGTGTGATGGATATTTAGCATACGCTGCAATGGACAGCAAAAGAGTCCTTGCCCTGTCTTGATGTGCACGTGAATGCAGACCAGGACAAGACATCTGCAAGGTGCCACGCGGTGCGAATTCCTCACAATCAAAAGGATCCTCAGCGCTCCTTTCTCCTGGCAGGCTCCCTGACGCGAGCGGTGCGCCAACCTCCAATGCGGAGGGGTGCACCGACGGCCCAGACCCGGAGCTCGACATGGAGCGAAACACCGTGATTGACCCCGGCAGTGAGCTGGACTTCCCACTCCTCCCCACTCCTGCCGCCCAACCTACCTCCTGCTGCCCACCGGCCGTCTTTGTCACGCTGTTGCTGACCCTGTCGGACCTGCTCAGCGGGCTGGCCTCAGGCATGACGGTAAAGTTCTTTGCAATATTTTTCCTGGAGCAGTGCAGGCTGCGGCCGGCCACCGTGGCGGCCGTGGCAGCTGCGGCGCCCTGCGGCGTAGCCTTTGCCGCCGCGGCCGCCCAGCGCATTGCTGCCAGGGTCGGCAGGGTGGAGGTGAGGTAATCCTTGGGTTCATAAAATTCATGAAGAATGCCTGGGGGTTTGACCGTGGCAGAGGCTTGGCGGGGGAGCGGGGCTCCAACAGTCGCAAACCTGCAGACTCTTGGAGCAAGCCTTGCCCTCTAGACCCCCACGCACTGGGGTGTAGCAAATGATCCTGCACCCACCACCCCTCCCTCACCTCAATCGCCCACCCATCATCAGGTATCCATCTGCACCAGACTCTTTGACGTGGGCCTGCTCAGCAGCATGGCCTTCATTTCCACAGCCAGGGCGCCCGCCATGCTGACCGTGCACCTCCTACGAACGGCACTGGCCAACAGCACCCGGCCTCTCATGCGCAGCGTGCTCATGGAAGTGGTGCCCAAGCAGTACCGTGGCAAGGTGAACGCCTTTGAGAGCATCACCATGTTCTCCTGGAGTGGCTCTGCGGCCCTCGGAGGGTGAGGCGGGGCGCGTGTGGAGGGGCAGCTGACTGGCCTTTTGTGTGGACGGTGGAGTGATTCGACCGCCCTGTGCTGTGCCGGGCTGAGTATACACCCCATCAACAGCCCCACCCCTGTGCCCCCTTCCCAACAGCGTGCTGATAGAGCGTCTGGGGTTCCAGGCCACCTTCCTGGTGACCGCGGCGATCAAGCTGGCTGCCTGCGTCCCCGTGGTCGTGCTGTGCGTCACGCTGCGTCGCTTGGGCCTGTCTGGCGCCCGCGACTGGCGGGATGGGCGGGCGGCTCGGCGATAGGCTGGTGACGTGGGTCATCTTGCACCAGCGAACCAAGCTCACGCATGTGGGCTGCAGCAATTGGTCCCTTTCGACGCTAGGGTGCCGAGCGGTACCAGGGTGTGTACAGCCACCATTGACTTGCGTGGTCAGGAGAAAATGCTGATGGCAGGCGCGTCTGTACAGGAGCAGGCCGTGTGCGTCATGTGTGCCGATGGCTGGGTACAAGTGGGTGCGGGCTCAGGGTGCAGAAACGGCTCGAAGGGCGTTGGGGAAAGGATGGTAATGGGGCAGGCGGAGCGGCGGCGGGATGTGGAGTAGACTGGGCAAGGAACGGGGTGAGACCCACGAGCTGCGGCGTCCCTGGGCGCAGCCACGCTGAGCAGGCCTGTGTTCAGCAGCGGCGCAGGCTGTGGGGGCCTCGCTCACATGCTCCTCAGCCATTTCCAATCGCAACCTCGCCGGCCCCCCTTCCGAGCACGCCCATCAGACTACTCATCCTCCATGTCCGCCATGGCCTCCCAGGCCAGGCTATCGCTGGGCCCGCGCCGGCCCAGCAGCGGCTCCAGCTTCAGCTTGTCCAGGGCCTGGCGTGCGCGCTCCAGCACCGCCTGCCCCGTGCCCGGGGGCAGGCCGCGCAGCGCGCCCTCGGCGCCCGTGGTGCGGATGCGCGCGGCGCGGTCCGCCGCGCCGCCGTCGTCCTCTCCGCCCCAGGCCAGGTTGATGAGCGCCCAGATGGCGGCCTCGCGGTGCGCGTCGGCGCAGGCGGCGCCGCGCTCGCCCACCACGCCCACCAGCAGGTAGGCCCAGCCCTCGGCCAGCAGCAGCTCCTTGTGCGCGCGGGGGCCCGCCGCCAGGTTCACCGCCGCGTACAGCGCGTGCAGGCGCGCGGCGGGGCAGGCGCCGTGGCCGACGTCACGCGCGCCGCGGCGCAGCAGGCCCAGCAGCTCGCCGCCGCTCCAGCGCCGCGCGTCGTCCAGCGTGGCGCCGCTGGCGTGCGCCAGGTTGCGCAGCAGCAGCCAGGCCTTGGCCGCAGCGCCGGCGTCGCCCGAGGCAACGCCGTCGCGCACCGCCGACCAGGGCAGCGCGGCCATGAGGGAGCGCTTCAGCTCGTCCCCGGCGCGCGAGGCCAGGCTGCTCAGCGCCCAGAAGCCCAACGCGCGCAGCGCGGGCTCTCCCGTCATGCCCACGAAGCGCTGCAGCCCGCCAGCGCGCAGCACCGCCTCGCGCGCCGGGCCGGGCTCCGCCACCGCGTTGGACAGCGCGGCGGCCGCGGCGGCCGCGGCGTCGCCGCCATCGCGCGTCAGCGCCAGCAGGGGCTGGGCCAGGTCCAGCGGGCCCAAGCCCCCCCTGCAGCTCGTTGTGATGGGTGTGTGTGGGGGGGTGTTGAGTGGCGGGCAGGGTTGGGCGCGTGGTTGGTGATGGGAGCAGACAGCTGGCCGGGGAGGGGAGACGCCGGGCTGCTGGGCCATCACTTGAGCGGTGCCAGGTTGGACAGAGGACACTGGCAGGCTTGGCGCCATGTGGCAGGGCCCCACCGTGCGTCAGCCCCACCATGGTTGCCTCGTCAGCATGCCCCCCCCGCCCACGCCCCACAACACAGGCTCACACACACCTGAGGAGCTTGGTGCTGCGGGACAGGACCCGGACCAGGTGCACGGCTGCTGCTCGCTCTTCCTGCTCCCTGTCCGGGGCAAGGGAGGCCGCGATGCGGGGCAGGGCCCCCGCCTCCTCCACCACACGACGCTGGGCCTCCTCATCCGAGCACAGCTCGCTCAGCAGGCGCAGGGCGTCGGGCTGGAGGCGGGTTGGAGGTGGAAAGCGTGAGCCGGTGGGTCGGCCAGGGTCGCATTTCAGGGGGCGGGAAATGGCTCAGGCCATCGAGTCCACACTCCAGCGAGAATGAATGCGGTTCTGGAAGATCAAAGCTCCCACACACCCAAGAGCACAACCACGAGACCCAACACCATGCTCACCAGGTGCTGCGGGGGGCAATCGCAGCGCGCGACCTTGCCCGCCAGCCGCGCCACCGCGCCGGCGTCCACGGCGGCGGCCAGCAGCGAGGCATCCGTGCCCAGGAGGAGGAGGAGCGCGCGCTCGCAGCCCAGAGGCTCCTTGCAGTCAAGCAGGGCGACCAGCGTGGACAGCACGCAGCAGCGCAAGCTCTGTGGGATTGGGCCGGGGAGTGGGGCAGGGTCAGGTGCGGGGACGTGGACAGCATGGCATTTGACCCTTGCTACTATAGGATGATCGTGCCGCCCCAGGGGTACTTCCATACTGTGGAACAGACCGCAGGCCATGGATACCGACTGGAAAGGTGGCGGGGCACTCTCGGCCTTCCCCCCCCCCACATACACCTCCCCAACCCAATCCACAGAAACCTCTGCACACCAGGGCCTGCTTCTCGGCCGCCCCCCCGCCGCTCCTGTAGCACGGGGCAGCAGTATAGGAGGCAGGCCGCGGCGTTGTACCGCGAAGCCGCCACCTCGGCCCCGTTCCGCGCCGCCAGGGCCAGCGCATCCACCGCGGGCTTCGCGGCCGCCAGCTGCCGCGCGGCCTCCGGGTCGCCCGCTGCCAGCCCCGCCAGCGCCTGGAGCACCGGCGTGCGCGCCAGGCCCGCGCCGCGCATGCCCAGCAGGCCGGCAAGGTGCGGCACCGCGCCGGCGGCGACCAGCGCCCGCGCGGGGCCGGGACTGCTGGCCACGGCGGCCATGACGTGGGCGGGGGCCACAGAGTCCGCCCCAGCCTGCGCCACCAGGCGGCACAGTGCCGAGCAGCAGGCCGGGGGGAGGTCACGGAGGGGGGCGTGCACGCACAGGGCTCGGAGGGCGGATGCAGAGGCTGCTGCCACCCCCGCGTCCTGGCTGCAGAGTGCCATGAGAAGGACGTCGGTGCCGCCCTCCTCGACCAGGCAGGCACAGCCCTGCTGGACGAGCAGGAGGCTGGCCAGGGCGGACAGGCTCTGCGTCGCTTGCTTGGGGGAGGGCCCCTGCACGAGCTGGGAAAGCAGGGCGGGCACCGCCCCCGCCCGCAGCAGGGTCAGCTTGCGCCTCGGGTTGACGATGGACTCGTTCTTCAGCGCACGAGTAGCCACGAGGCGGTCGGCGGGGTCGATGCTCGACAGTCGTGCCACCATGGCCTCCTCTGGGGTCGGGGGAGGGGGAGCTGAGCTCCCCCCCGAGGTTCCGAGGTCCATGCGCGCTAGGGGGAGCGGTGCATGGGATTTAGATACTACAGACTATGACCCATTTTATTCTTTTACGAGTACCGCTGAAGACACTGCGATGTCCCGGCGACAAGCTTTTGGGCTGGTCCGGTGCCTACAGCGCGCGGAACCTTGGGAACTACCGGAGCAAGATTGTTACACACTCATCGGGCAGGTACAGGCTGTCTCGACCTGCAGCCACCACCCTGACCCACGCAGGCCCCTTGTGTGACTGATTGAGTAGAGAGGCTCTCTGAATGAGAAGGTCTCACCCTGCAGCATGTCCTCGCGGCAGGGTTAGACTTTGTTCCCGGCCGAGGTCTGGTCGGGGGCCTATGCCTCAGGCCGCTGACTGAGCCTGCTGCAGCGCAGCCTCCGTGGCTGCACGGGCATGGTATGGGGAGGAGTGGAGCGGGTGCATGGAGGTGCCCTGGCGCCTACTGCCGGCCCCTTTGCGTGGTGCGAGTCACTCTTGGCGGCTGGCATCGACAGAGGGTTGGCCGCTTCGTGCACCCCTCCCACTGCCCCGCCCTCCTTCATCCCAGCTCCACCCACTCACCGCTGCCCGAGATGCTGATGGAGCTGCCCGATGAGCTGACGGTGGTCGTAGAGATGCCGGGCAGGATGCCGGACAGCTTGTCCATGAGCTGCGAGAAGAAGTCGGAGATGGAGTACTTGTTCAGCGCCTGGATCTTGAAGGCCGAAGTGAAGGTGCGGCCAGAGGCGTCAGACCCCTGGAATGCCGCGATGATGGTAGTGGAGCAGGTGCTGGTGGAGCAGGACAGCCCGCGGCATGTGCAGCTGCTCAGCGGGGCTGCCAGGTTGACCATGGGGTTGGGGGCGGGGAGGGGGTGGTGTGAGAGTTTTGCTCATGGCGCGCTGGGAAGGGGCAGTGACCAGGTACCGCACACTGGCCTCTGCCTGCGGTGAACAAGTGTCGGTCACGCGAGGAGGCGAATGGCCGTGGCCACATGGAAGAGCACATACCACGCCCCGGCTCTTCATGCGCCGTCAGGCTCATCCCTCCCCCCCGCTGGCTGCAGAGGGCCAGGCCCCCAGACTCAGCATCCACCTCGACACGTAAGGTATCCCGAGTACTCGTACCAGCACATGATGCCTGGGCGGTCAGCTGGTAGCTGTCGCTGAGTGACGTGCGGATGCACTGGTCGCTCACCAGCCCGCCGCAAGCGGTGCACTGGCCAAAGTCCCACCAAGAGAATCCGGCAAACACGCCGCGGTCTGTGATGATGATTGCCGAGACGGAGGGGTAGATGTGGACCTGAGCAGCTTCCTGCCCTCCAAGCAGACCATTCCATGGAGCAGTACTGCCGCCTTCAGTAGGTCCTCCCTCAGAACCGCACCCCAAATCCAGTGGGTCCCCACCCCCACCCCAAACGCTGTCTCAACCCTTCCCAGGCTCCATGGCTATGACCTGGACTCCTTGCTCCCCCACCCGGCCGCGCTCACTGAATCCGATGAAGAGCGACATCTGCTCCACAATCCCCGTCCCGCCGGTCAGCGCCGCCATGTTGCTGCGGATGTACTTGGCATCCGACCGATTCTGGCCCCGGAAGGCGATCACGCTGAGCACCTCCGTCTGCTGCACGCCCAGGATGGGGCCCCAGATCGCGTCCTCCTCCGCCTTGGTCGTGCGCAGCGCGGCAAGCGTGTCCACGGTGACCATAAAGGTGCTGAAGGTCACGCCTTGGTTGCTCTGGGCGAGGGCAGCGCAGGGGGGGGTGGAGGGGGAAGTGTGTGTAGGTGCGGCAGGCTCAGTCTAGGCGCGAGGATTGGACTTGGGGCAGCGCAAGGTGAGATGTGGGTCGGTATCAGGGACTGCAAATCGCTTGAGGGCGCATGACCAGGAGACAGAATGAAGCAGGGAGACCTTGGCACTGCGTAGCAAGGCTGAATTGGATGTGCTGGGCTCCCAGTCAGGGGGGGTAAGATAATGGCAGTCCCAGCAAGCCCAGGTCCCACCATGCAGCCCTGCCGACCGATGGGGGCCGCCCCTGCATCCATGCCCGCCCCACTCACACCGACCCACCAGATACGACAGGTAGTTCAAGGTGCCGCCCTCCCACTGCATTCCTGTGATGCAGGGGTTCAGGCCGGGTGCGCCTGCGCAGAATAGTTAGGCGGAATGTAAGGGTTGAGAGGATGATGTCCTCAGCCGCAGCCAGTATGAATCATTGTTATCTCTAGGGATGCATGCACGTCACCTCAACCTCCATTCACAAACCTGAGGCGTTGACAGCTGGGCCCCTGCATGGGAGGATGAATTTAGGGGTCACAAGATTCAGCAAATTCACATTCAGTGCAGCAGAGCACCTCCCACCATGCCCTTTCAAGGCATACTCCACACCAAATATGGCAACCCTACCCCAAGCACGTCCCCATACCAGTTGACGATGGTGCCCGCCGGCCAGTACGCCAGACCGACGACGAATCCATCCCCCTGGTAAAGAAATCAGGGTTATGGGATCCTCCACATTCCTGTAGAATATCAGATCGAGCACTGTCATAGGCACGGCGAGCGCACCTTATTCACGACATTGGGCTCCGTGCAGGGATTGTACGTCCCGGACTGGCCGGCTACTAAGCTAAGATACGCCAAGGCAGCAGCGATGCCCAGTGTTAGATTCCGTGACACCGCCATGGTGTGGCCAGCAAGCGATCTTCAGCAAGGCGAGGTTTGGAGGGTCTCAAGAACCGCACTGCCTACTCGCTTCCCGGGCCATGGAGTCAGTATGTTTCAGAGATTTCTCGTGATGAAGCTCAGTCCCGGAACGGATTACGATGCGACGAGAATGTAATCGTTCTCGCTCTGCAGGCGCCTGCCACGGCACGCATCGCATGGGACTCACTCAAACTCCCACCCCGCTGTCACAGGGACGGGGTGCCCCAAATGGGTTGCGTGGAGCGGCGATCGCCGTCAACGATCCCGACACAGGGAAAGCCACTTGAAAACACCCAAATGGAGGCCGATGTGGGTACCGAAAATTCCGGGCTGCCCCGGGCGGTGCAGCTGCACATCGCGGACCTGGAGAGCCATGTCAGCGGGCTCACCCAGCAGCTGGCCATCGAGGCCAAGATCCATGAAGCACATGCTGCTCGGTATGAAAAGCTCAAGGCCCGCCAAGAAGCCCAGACAAGGACTGCGAGTCGCCTCCATGCACGGGTAGGTGGTTGGGCCCGTGAGCCTTTGGTCCCCACTCAGTCATTCCGACCAACGTGGCTCTCGAGACTCCTCCGTTGAAGACCAATACACATTCAGCACAACACGTACCATTTTGTTTTTCAGTACAGCCTCTTCTTGCCCCCCACCCCCTTCCTCATTGGTAGGCGCTGGACGAGGTGGGGGACAGGGCAGACCTGGCCTCCTTCCAGCTGTCCAAGTCCAAGGTGGAGCTGTACCGCTGGCGCCAGCGCAGTGCCCTGCTCAAGGTCCGGCACTCCAGCGCGGTGGAGGACGCGGACCGCTACGACCGCCTCTGCGCCTCCACCTCGAGGCTCAGTGCGGTCGGGGCGATGGCCGCCGCGCGCCACTCGGAGGCGCAGCGGGAGGCGACGCGCTCAGGCGCCGCCCTGCGCGCCCAGCTGCAGCAGGCGCAGGAGCTGACGCGTGCGGCGCGCCAGGAGGCCGCCCGCCAGGAGGCCCAGGCCGCTGGGTTCAGGTCCGAGGCCGCCTCGGAGCGCGAGCGACTAGCCCAGGCGAAGCGGGAGGCCGACTCGGAGCGCGAGCGACGCGCGCTGGCGGAGGAGATCGCCGCATCCGCGCGCTCGCGGGCGGAGGCCGCCGAGGGTGCCCTGCGAGCGCGGGAGGGCCTGGCGGCCGAGAAGGAGAGCTTGGCGGCGGGCGTGGCGGCCCTGTCTCAGGGGCTGGCGGCACGCACAGGGGCCGAGGAAAGGGCGACCAGGGAGGGCGAGGCGCGGGCCGCCGCCGAGGAAAGGGCGACCAGGGAGGGCGAGGCGCGGGCCGCCGCCGAGGAAAGGGCGATCAGGGAGGGCGGGGCGCGGGCCGCCGCCGAGCGCAGAGCGGGGGCGGCGGAGGCTGAGGGGCGGTCGCTGCGTGCACGGCTGGAGACGCTGCAGGCACAGGTGGGAGAATGCTTGAGTGGGGGTTTAGGGGGGTGACCAGGAGTGAGGATACATGGAGAGAAGAGGGGGAGCTGGGGGCGGATGAACTTACAAGTGTGGGTGTGGGACGAGTAATGAACGGCAAGGAGGGGCAGCGCTCCTTCCTCCTGGTCAAGAACCCCAAGTCGACACACGGCAGAACCACTGCCCCCCCGCGCAGATCAAATCTCGGGACGAGAAGATTGCGGCCCTGGAGGAGGCAGCTCGCCAGAGGGAGAATGCCACGCCAGCCAGAGAGGTGCGTCGCAGTGAGCGTTTCAGATCATAGGCGCCCCACGAGATCAGGGCCTGTGACCAGGACAGCCCAGGGTTGAAGACCGTTGCTTCTACTCTATCCAGTCATCTGTCTGCTGTCCTTTACCCACTCAAAGCACCCCCCTTACACCTGCCCAGATGGCGACAGCGATGCGAGTGGTGGATCAACTGGTCGACCACCTGCAGGGCACGGATGCCGAGGATGAGGACTGCGGCGACGATCTGTTCCGCGCCCCCATCTTCCCGATCGACGCCCCGCCCGCGGCACCCCTGGACGCTGGCCTGGGAAGGCAGGCCTCGCCCGCGCCCGGTCCCGAGCCGGTCGAGGCTGCTCGTGTGGCGGGCGCCGGCGCATCTGCCCCGTCCTCACCCCTCGTCGCTGCAGAGCCGGTTGAGCCAGCGCCCAGGCGGAAGCCGCCTGCACGCCGGGCCGCCGGCCAGGCCAAGGTCAACCTGGCCGCCAGCGTGTGGGGCGAGGGGGATTCCCCGGGGCAGGCCAAGGAGAGCATCGCGCAGAAGGGGAAGAGAGCGCGGGTCGCCGCCAAGACCAGCCTGTCTGAGAAGGAGAATTCGAGCGGGGGGGTCGGTGAGCCCACAAAGGAGGCTCTGGCGGCCCTAGCCGTCGGCCCCGCGACTGAGATAGATCGGCCGGCTGGCGATCCGTTGCGCGCCCTCAACCCGAGGTGTGGAACGCTGTGTGGGAGTCTGATAGCGTCTGCGGTCATAAATGCTGGGCTGTTGGCCCTCCGATGAACCCTAGGCTCTCATGGGTGTCGACTTATTGGATCACCAGACATGCATACAAGCCTTTGCCGAGTTAAAACATCCCCTTGTTCTTACGAGCACAGGGTGGTGGAAGCTGCTGCGAAGCACGCTATGCTACCAGTCCCCAAGTCTCACCCAGCCCTGGAACGTCCTGTGGCCGCGTGAGTTCCCGTGAAGAGAGCATGACCTGGTGCCTGTATGGGATGGTCGCGACCTCATCGTGCCCAAGCTGCCCCGCCCTAATCCGCTCACCCCTCCTCCAACACAGGCCTGGCGGGCTGAAGCCTGCGGTGCCCGGCAAGAGGAAGCTGCTGACTGTCTCCAGGGGCGACGCACTGCCGGCGGCAGCAATATTCGGTGCGGGCTTCAAGGCACCCAAGCTGGCGTCCAGGGCCCCATAGGGCGATGCTAAGACCAGTGCGCGGAATGCGAGTTTCCGCACAACAGACCATGTACACTTGCTGACGGACAACATCTTACTGAGGAGAGGGGCAGCATTGTTCCTACTGGACTGCAACATGTGCCATCCTGCTAAATGAGCCATTGACGGCATATCATGACAGAGGAAGCCTAACTCTGGTGACAGTTAGCGGCTCGGGAACTCACTTCACATCCTTGGGATTTTGCAACACCCCAGTTGACATGTTACGCCTTGTGAGGGTGATGTCAAAGCTGAAGGTAGGTAAACTTACAAGGAGCTCACAAAGCATTGGGGTGAAAACACGAGGACGAGGACGTCTACCGACTCATCGCAGCTTGGTCTCGGAGAAGAGCACATGTCGCTGTACCCTGGGATCATATTTGACGAACTCTAGCTTCTGGGGGAGCTTGCGGGGGTTCTTCCTCGCCACACTGCCGGGAGGGGAACAGAGAGGGACCAGGGCTGAGGACGGATTGCTAACAAGAACGACGCTGGTCCCATATGCGCAACGACACCCAAAATCTGGTCCACACTCACTAGAAGTATCCTGTTCCAGCTGTGCTCAGCAGCTTGACAAGGAGGGTGGCACCCTTCTTCGGTGCCATCGCTGATGTCTTCAAGCCCCCGAGGCGCTAGCAACCAACGTGATATAGCTACTCAATCGCAGTTTTGCTCCTGCAGAATAACCCATTGTCTGGGTCGTCAATGTGAGTTGTGCCGTGGCCGTACCTCGGTGGACTCAGGGCGCGACACCAAACTTCAGATCCACGAACGTGTTTGCTTCCTTACAACGGTGGGTCCTCGCCTGGCGACATTGGTACGACCACAATGAAGTATACAGTCCCATGAATCGAGCATAATCGTAAGGCTTCGACAGGGAACGTGTCGCCATGTCCAACGTCTACAACCTTGAGCCCCCCACCAAGGGAAAGGTTGGTGCCTGAGGATCGCAATGCCATTGGTATCCTCTGGTGATGAAATTGACATTCTAGTCCTATCTCCAATCCATCAGCGCTCCTCACATCCCGCAGGCGGTGCTGAGAACCAGCCTGGGTGATCTTGACGTAGAGCTGTGGGCCAAGGAGGCCCCAAAGGCGGTGCGCAACTTTGTCCAGCTCTGCTTGGAAGGTTATTATGACGGCACCATTTTCCACAGGGTGCTCAAAGACTTCATGGCTCAAGGTGGGGTGGTGGTGGGAGCCCATGGCTCATGGAGGTTGATGGTGTTTGCCTGCTCAATGAAGGCTGCCGGCAGAGTGTGGCTCCTCCAGGCGCTTGAGCTCCAGGCAGCTTCACCCCAACTCCAACAAATTCACAGGCGGCGACCCCACCGGCACGGGCCAGGGTGGCGAATCCATCTACGGCCGCCCCTTCAAGGATGAGGTGCACAGCAGGCTGCGCTTCACCCACCGCGGGCTGCTGGCCTGCGCCAACCAGAACAAGCCGGACACCAACGGCTCGCAATTCTTCATTACCCTGGATGCCACGCCCCAACTGGAGCGCAAGTACACCATATTTGGACGCGTGGCGGGTGCGTCGGAGGAGGATGCCGGGCCCGTTATGAGGGAGCCGAGAGGACTTGGGGCCGCAATTTGGCAGGCACACCTCGCACCATGCCAGCAGACAATTTAGATTCGAGGTGCCTTCACCTGCGCAGGCGACACCCTGTACAACCTGCTGCGCTTTAACGACCTAGAGGTGGGCGAGGACGACCGGCCGGAGCACCCCCCGGTCCTGAAGAGGGCAGACGTGCTGTGGAACCCTTTCGATGACATTGTGCCGCGAGTGGACAGGTGGGGCCGGGGAGCGCATGTGTAAAGTGCATGAGCATGGCGCAAGGAAAGCGCGACGGGTCGTGTGCGGGTGATCGGGGTCTGGGCTGCGAGATGTGGCACGGACCCTCCAGATGGAGATCTTTCCTCGTCAATCTGTCTGCCTGCTGATCCCAGACTCCTCTAAACCCTCTGTAGGGAGGCCAGGGAGGCTGAGGCCGCCGAGGCAGCAGCAGCGGCGGCGGCCAGGGCCAAGACCTTGCAGCGCAAGGCCGCCAAGAACTTCAGCCTGATCTCATTCGGGGACGAGGCCGAGGCGGAGGAGGAGGCCGCCGTGGAGGCGGCTGCCTCCCTGAAGATCGCCTCGGCGCACGACGCCCTGCACGACGCCCACCTGTCCAAGGAGGCGGCCCTGGACGTGGATCTGAACAGGCGAGTCGCGGGCTGTGGATGTGGGCGCTTCCAGCTGCTATGGCTGGTGGTAGCTGCTGTGGCTGGTGGTAGGAGTGAGACCCTGTGGCTGGTGCATGGGAGTGAGCTGTCGGCCATGGCCGTACCTCCCAGTCGCCCAGCGTCTCATCAGCAATGCACTCAATCCCTCACCTGCAGTGTGCGGGAGGCCTTGCGGTCCGCCAGGCAGCGGCAGGAGGAGGAGGCTCCCCCCTCGACCAGCGCCGCGCCTGCCCCCCAGCCGTCCGACCTGGAGTCACGCATGCGCGAGCGGGTGCAGGCCCGGCGTGCAGCCAAGGCGAGCGAGGGGGAGGGGCGGCCCGGCCAAAATCAGTCGCCCAGCGGAAGTGGCGGCGAGGAGGACGAGGAGGACGGGGACGCATCCGAGGAGGACGGGCGGCCGCGCAGGAGGGCGGCGCGCTCCCTGGCAGGGACGGGGCAGGGCAAGCGCTCCACGGCCGCTGTGGTGGTGCCCTCCAGGCAGATTGCCGTGGCCGATGCCAACCTGCTGAGCAGCTGGGAGAAGCGGAGGAAGGTGGGCGGGGTCGCGGGTGGAGAGGGGGCGCGGGTGTGGGTGGTGCAACCTCCTGGGGAGCAGGCTGAGCACGGATCTCAGGTGTCCTTAATGGGAGGTGGATTGCTGGAGGCAGCCTGTGGTGTTGCTCTCTGCAGCCTGTGCGGTCCACCACGATTGCATCCACACACCCAGCCCTCCCACTCGCCCGCGACAGGAGTACCTGGAGCGGAAAAGAATCGGCGGCAGCCGGCAGAGGGACACGCTGAGCAAGTTGCAGCGCTTCACGTCCAACCTCCGGTCAGCTGCAGGGCCCGGCTCCAGCGCCGGAGCCGAGGCAGGGCCCAGCACAGATGGAGTAGAAGCCGCAGGGCCCGGCCCAGACGGCGCAGCTGCGGCAGCACCGGCCTCTCAGGACCGCAGCGGAGCGCCAGAGGGCGCCACGCCAGACCCCGACTTCCAAGGTTCGATTTGGATCATTCTGGCATTATGCCCCCCGGGAGCAGTGGATGCCAAATGCAGGCGTTCAGAGGGTCTCGTGCCACGCGCGCGATGCGATGATGCATGCCTGGGGGCTGTCGCTCATGTGATGACTAAACCTCTGCCCCACCGCCCGCTCATGCTGCATGCAGCAGGGTATGACGGCAGGGTGAGGCAGGACATCGCGCACGAGGCCTACATGCCGGCTGCCTGGAGGGTGGACGCCTACTTGGGAAAGGACGGCGAGGACGAGAGCGACGACGACCTCGCCAGCTTGAGGAAGCACAGGTGTGTGGCTGAATTGCGCCGGCATTTCAGAGCATGGCAGCTGCAGCAGGGTCCTGGGACCTTCAAGCAGTCTGCTGTTCCACGGAAAGGCCCAATGTTTTCCCCCTGCCTATCTGGGTCCCCAACAAGGTCTCCCCTCCTACTCCCACGACATCAGGCTCGCATTTGTCAAGGACGCCCGGGATGCCATGGCCAGGAAGGAAAGCGTGGAGGATTACACCGTGCACGACCCGCTGCTCGAGGCGGGCAAGGCCAAATTCAACAAGAAGTCGCAGGCCGAACGAAAACGCGGCAATCAGTGGGCGGGGCGGGCGAACAACTAGGCGAGCGTGAGGAAGGAGAATGCTGCTTGGCCTGTGCATTGGGTAGTGTGAGGACGTGGCCCTGCTGCCGTCACCATGTCGTGAGAGCCAGGTCCTCAATGCAAATGATACTCATCAACATGTAACGGGTATCACCTCCGCGGCACACACAAGGGGCAAATCAACTCCCCTCAGTCCAGTCTCTGGGCCACCAGTCCGGCACCGAGGGCAGGACCTCCTGCCCCGCCCCACCCTCGGGCCTCAACGCCAGTGGCGGCGCCGCGCCCCGCGCCACGGCAAGCGCGGCGTCCAGCCGCAGCAGCGCCAGGCCGGCTTCCCCCTCCACGGCCCGCACGACGCCCGCAGCCCGCCCTCCGGAGCCAGCGCCGCCCGCCGCGATCTCGCGGCCTGCAGCGACCTCCGCGCCGCCCTCGCCCCCGACGCCGAAGCGCACGGGCATGAGCCGCTTCCGGATGACCCCCTTGTAATGGGTTCGGGCCACCAGCTCCTGCCCCACGTAGCAGCCCTTGTCGTAAGCCACGCCCCGCAGCGCATCCAGGTTGTACTCCAGGGGCATGGCGTGGCCTGTGATGGGGAGGGGGGGGGGGGGATTGCGCTGAGCGACCCACAATGGCTGCAGCATTGGAGGGTCCTGTCCAGCGACGTCGTGGAGCCGCAATAGGATACCGCCCACTGGGTGAGGCCGCCTCGGGAACCAGGCAACCCAGCACTCACCACCCAGGAGCCCCAACCAATGGCTCCCAGACCCCACCGTGCGGGATCTCGGCGTCGCCTTCGGCAACCCCCAGCGGCATGCGGTGTCGCGCGAAGCGCGCCTGCTCTGACGCGCTGGCCTCCCCCCAGGCGCCAAGGCCCCTCGCGCCCAGCGCGGGCAGGCGAGGGTCGGGACCCCAGGCCAGGTGGGCGGAGGGGCACGGGGCGGCGCCATGCTCCGTGGCAGCCCAGACCGAGACCTCGCCGCTCAGATCTGCGATGTCCACCTTTTGCCGCAGCCGGTACCTGTTTCAAGGGGGGAGGTCTGGGGGGTCAGGGCGCAGCACGGCACCCTGGCACTTGCCCTGGCCCAGCCAGGAGGACGGCGGGGGGCCGGACCAGCCTGCAAACCGCACCTCTTCAGCAAGCGGGAGAGGTCGGGCAGGCTGTCTGCGTGCACGTCCAGCAGCAGGCAAGCTTCTTCGTCTGGTAGAGGGTGTGAGGAGGTGCAAGAATGGAGGTACAACGGCTCCTCACGCATGGAGGATGGGCGGTGATGGGGCGCACAATGAGTGCCAAGATCAACCCCAGCGTCACGTCCCTCACTGAAACCCCGTCCCCACATCCTCACCTGGCATCTTGTGGATGATCATGTCATGCAAGTGCCTGCCTTGGGCGCTGAGCAGGCAGGCGTACAAGGGCTTGGCGTCGGGAGCCTCCAGAGGCGTTATGTCATTTGTCAAAAGCGCCTGCAGGAAGTGGTAGACGGGCGAGCCCTGCAGCCGGAGCACACCTCGCACCCCCTGCAGGCTGATGGCTTCCATGGCTCCAGAGCCGAAACACCGCGCGGCATGGCGCCGACTTGCAGCAGCGGTCTCGATCAGGAAGCGCATGATGGGATCGGGCTCAGTGGTCCATTGGTGCAGACTGGCGCTCTGAACAAGGTGCGGCCATGGTACAGTACGTCCTCTACATCAATGAATTGCGAAATACATACAAATGGTAATCATAATATTTCACAACTATTCGCGTTCCTGAACACACATACATGGGATCCACGGGCATCGAAGACCCTCACCCGAGAGAACTGGTGGTGGTGTGGAGCATGCACAGCAGGGTCCCAGATCACCGACACAGGTCCGTGGAATCGGGCCTAGCTGGTGGAGACATCTCGCCATGCATACAGCCACATGGATATGACACGAGGACCAAATGGCCAGCGTCCCAAACTTGGGATCCAGGGTCGCCACCATGTGCACAGGACACTTTCGGCCCTCCAATTCCCCACCAGCCTTCCCATGCTGAGGGCCGAAAGGTCCTCAGGGGCCTTGAAGCCAACACGTTAGCCCCGTCATGAGTTTCAGTCCGGATGGGGGGGGTCGTCGTGGAGACATGGCCCTCAAACATGTGTTCGAGGGCTGCCGCCTGGTGTTCTGGCACAAGTCCCACGTGTCCCGCATGAAGGATCGGGTGGTCGACAGGGGTGGCTCCATAGCAGCGGCACTGGACAAGGACACCACCCACGTGGTATCGGGCGCGAATACCAGCCTGGTCACAGCGGCAGCTCACCTGGCCCAAGCGGAGCATGTCAGGCATGTGGCTGTGGTCGTGAGTTGGTTGGGAGCCGACGGGGGGAGCCCTGCCACCAGCGCAGCATCGGAACTATGGGGCCGCCAAGTGGCCCCATCAGCCTTGCACACCGGGCATCACATGAACCTCCTCCAACCCAAGCCCCAGACCCCCATCCATCACCCAGGCCCTCCCTGTCGCTCGACATCGACTCGATGCGTGTAGCTGCGCCGACGGGCGTCCACTTTGTACTGCCCACGTGGATCACTGCCTCCATGCTGAAGCAGACGCGGCAGGCGGAGAGCGACCACCTCTCCCCCTTTGGGCAAAGGCTGGCAGCTGCCATGCCGCAGGCCCACGGGGAGGCGGCTGTGAGCGGGCCGGGTGAGCACTCTGGCAGCGGCTCGGCAGACAGCAAGGGACCAGGAGCCAAGCAGAGGGAACGGGCTGGCAGTCCACCGAGCAGCAAGACGGGCTCGGGGCTGGGGACCTCGCCAGCGCACGCCCCCACTTCGACAGGAGGCTCCGGGGCGCCCCTCTGCGACGCTGAGCCTCTGCCGCGCAAGAAAGCCCGCCGCCCGCAACCGCCCGCCCCCTGCAGAGTCGAGAGGGTCGGCAGCGAGTTTGTCGCCATCGAGGGTGACACCCTGCCTCGATTCACCGGCGGCGACTCGGGCCTTCCCTGGGGCTGGGCCGGCGTCTGGGAGGAGCCCTGGGATGAGGCGACGGCGATGTGGGTGACGCGGTTTGGTTTGGGATTGGCCGCTCGTCTGATTCATCTTCTCCTGCCTGCTCCCACAGCGTCTCCCCAGCCCACCACCAGCCCCTCTCTGCAAGATGAGCAGGGCGACCCGCGAGAAGCTGCGGCACCACTGGTACCGCACCGCCAGGGCAGCGACGGCGCCCCCCACCGGCAAGGACCAGGGGGGAAAGGCCCCCCGCGTCAACACCGCGTGCAGGCACGCTGCCTGCGCCCCGCACCCCTTCTGCATCGTGGAGAAGCTGGCGGAGTACCGCTCCGTCTACGTGGAGGGCAGGGACCAGTACCGCATCAAGGTGTGTGTGCGTGGGCGGGGGTCACGGTGGCTGGGTCGCGGCGTGGGGAGCACAGGGGTCCCTCAGTATGGTGGTGCCCAGCTGGGCACCGGCTGCCAGCACTCCATGTGGCTGTGCGAGGAGCTGCTCCATGGGTGTTCAACCCTGCTTGCCAAGCTGCTCAGAAGCCATCCCAGGAGCCGCTCCCATGTCCCCGCAACCCCCCTTGCTTTCCAGGCTCTGGAGCGGGCGATCCAGCAGGTGGCCGGCCATGGCTCGCCGCTGGAGGAGGATGCGGACGTGGACCACGTAGGCCTGGGCCCCAAGAGCGCCCAGAAGGTCAGGGACGTCCTGCGCAGCGGGGAGTTCATCCGCGTCGCTGCCGTCGCCGGGGACAAGCGGCTACAGGTGGGGGGCCGTGTGTGGGTCAGGGTGTGCGTCGGGGGGACCGGGGTGGAGGCGGCGCGTCGTCGCACGCCGAGGAGCGCACTGGAACCCGTGCCGCAGACTTCCCGTCATCTGCCTGGCATGTGGCGCCGGCGATGCTCAAGCCTCTCACACACAACCACACCCGCAGACCCTGGCGCTCTTCAGCGGCGTGTGGGGCGCCGGCCCCACCACGGCCCAGAAATGGTATGCGGATGGCGCCCGCAGCCTCGAGGACGTGGCCCGGCGGCCAGGCCTGACGGCGCAGCAGCTGGTGCGCTGGGGATGGGGGTTCGGGGGAGGGAATGGGCGGGAGTTGTCATGGACGCCGCCGCCTGCTCCCAGGGCGCTGCGGGGTAGAACATTTCCCTCGATCAAGGCCTGCCGGGGTGCCCATTGCGCCTGCCTGCCCGGGTTCCTGGTGGGCCAGACCTGCGCGTGGAGGCGCTTGGTACGACGCCCCCCTCTCTTCCCTTGCCCATCATCCCCCAGACCGGGCTCAAGTACTATGAGGACATCCAGCGCAAGATGCCCCGCACGGAGGTGGCGAGGGGGGAGGCCCTGGTCCGCGCCGCAGTGTTCGACCTGGTGGACACACTGGCGCCCGGCCTGGGTGCCGACGGCGTGGCCAGGACCTACGCCTGGGCCACGGGCAGCTTCCGGCGAGGCGCCCCGGAGTCCAGCGACATGGACATGCTGGTCGGCCTGCCGCCCGGCACGGAGCACGTGGACTGCGTGCACTTCCTGGAGCAGGTTGGAAAGGAGGGGTGGGTTGCCTCATGTGGGACGCTGGCGGAGCGATGGACGTGGACGTACAAAGGGCGGCTGGCCTGTATCCACAGGGGCGGTGCCTCCCTTGCAGGCTCAATGTGATGAACCACTTACGTGTTCAATCAGAAAAGCTGCAGTGCAGTATAACCAGACCAAGTAGCCCCTCCAAGACTCGACCCATGATCTCTCAACAGCTGCTGGACAACCTGCTGGAGGCAGGGTTCCTGCTGGAGGACATGATGGGGCCGGGCGCGACGTCCACGCTGTGCCGCGCCCCCCTGACCCGCGCGAGCTGGATGGGGCTGTTCAGGACCGAGGCGTCGCCCTGGGCTCGCCGCATAGACGTGAAGGTGCAGAGGGCTGCTGATGGGTCTTGGTTCGATGAGGGGTGATGGCGGCGAAGGGCAGCAGGGGGGCGTGCCCGCCACAGTACTTCATGGGACGCCACACGCCGAGTCACTTCAGATCATGAGGCCCCTGGTCCACTCCCTTCATGCTTCTCCATGCCAGTGCTCGATCGCACCATCACCCCCCCAAGACACCCCCCCCGGTTCTACGTCCCCTTCCCGCCATTATCCAGGTGTACGCGCACGAGCACCTGCCCTTTGCCGTCAACTATTTTGCCAACAGCCAGTCCTTCTGCCGGGCCACGCGGCACTGGGCCACCCAAGCTGCCGAGCTGGCCAGGACCTGCACAGGGGAACCCAGCACCACGGGGTTCAAGCTGTCGGACAAGGAGGTGACTGTGCTGCTGCCTGAGGGCGGGTCCTCTCAGAGCAGGATTGCCTGCGCCTGCGAGACCGACATATTCAAGCTGCTGGGCCTGGACTATGTCCCAGTGACCATGCGCTACTTCAACAACTACTTCTGAAGGGGCTGGGGTTCTGTCGTTGCTCGAGGAAAGGCTTGCTGGGCGGCTTATGCCCCATGCAGACGACGCACACACCCATGCCTGCGACCTTCCTCCCTCGCCAGAGGCGAACAAGAGGGCAGACAGTTTCAACATGGCCGCAAAAGCACGCCACAGGCATCACCCGGACAGGGGTCGAAAGGGCTCAGAGCATGCACTCAAAGGGGGAAGAGCAGAATTGTACTCAAGTAGTACGTCAAAGAACAGGTATGCTACAGAAACAACAGCATCAGGGGGGGGAACGCTTTCTGTGGAGCGCACCTCAGCAGGGGCCCTACCTGTGCGAGAGAGAGTTACAGGAATGTGTGACGCGAGGGGTGCTATACTGGGAGAACGCCAGCGGGAGTCTACTTTCCCAGCAGCTTCCGGCCGCCAGGCAGACTATCGGCCACCTCGGCGATCAGCTCGGCGGCCGGCGCGATCTCCTTGCCGCCAAACTGGTTCTCCGATATGGCGAGGAAGGCCGACTCGGCCGCGGCATCCATGCTGCTGCTCAGCCTGCAATCGAATGCGAATGACAGGGTGCTGTTTGAGGCGGCAGAGTACCATGACTTCTGGGGGGCCCGACAGCGAGGGACCCACGAGCCCGGCTGACACTTTGGCACAGGTGAGGAGCTTCCTGGCCAGCTTGTAACTGCATGAGGACAGGCTGAGGGGCTGCCATGTCCCTACCCACAGCCTTGCATCGTCCTACTCCTCTTCCCCACCTGACACACACGAGCTTGTTCAGGACGGTACAGGGGCCATTGCTGAGCGGCGCGGCATTGCCCTCAGGGCGCTGCAGGGTGAAGGAGCCGTCTGCCTGGCAGAACTCGCCGGAGAGGGAGCGCACTGCCTGACCCTCGGCCAGGGTGGTCGTGGTGGTCACGTCAGACTGGTAGCTGGAGGCCTCGTCGTAGCCTGCAGGGGCGTTGAAGAGGGGTCATGGGTGTAGATGCCAATGTCAGGGGGCACGCAGAATGCTTCTTCATCTGGCTGTGTCGTGCAGGTGACTGACAGGCACGCACCGCCTCCCCAACCCCAGGCAGCTGCCGGAAGCCGCCCCCCCGCTGCACCCTACCGAGGATCTGGCACAGGACGGTGGCTGTGGCGAGTGTGTCGCAGCGGGTCCCATTACCACTGCAAATGCTCACAGCATCGCCCAGGATATTGATGCCGCTGTTGCAGAAGACTGCGAAGGAGAAGGGGATGCAAAATCAGTGCCAGGAGCCTCGAAGACTCTGGCGGTCGACCCATCCCAGACGTGAAGGATACAGCGGGGCCGCACTCTGTTGAAGTACCGGCATGACTGGCGCTTGGGCCCATCCACTCACACCAAAGGTTGGAGCCCGGGTAAACGTCGTCCCGCTCGGGACGCTCCGTCATCCACACCAGGCCGGCGGGGTCGCACAGGGGCCAGGACAGCGCACGGCCTGAGCCTGCGCATGATGCTGCCACGAGAAGGCACAGGCACAGGGTCGAAAGCGAGGTAAATCTCATTATATGATTGGTCTGCGCCTCAGGAGGGAGGATAGAAACCGCGGTAGTGATACCGTGCTGTTCCTGGGAAGGTGATGGAGCAGGCCGAAGGTGGTGCAAGTAAGGTGTGGTGCACGCTACAGGAGTAGCGAGGGGCTTTTCTGCGTATATGTTGCTGTCGAGCCAATCTTTCTTGCACTTGATGGCGCAACCCGGCATGATGTTGGTGCTGAGGGAAGAATCTTCTTGTCCTCGGCGTCCCGCTGACGTCAGGAGGCCACGTCACAGCCTGGACAGACAGGTCTCAGGCGCGTACCTCTCACCCTCACCCTATCATTCGGCGGTCCTCCAGACTCGGATTGCTGAATTTGATCAGGAGACCTTTCCAGAGACGAGGGCCGCACACGAAGGGGCGAGCCCACCTCAAACTTCCGTGGTACGGACTGCTGGGTAACCGCACGCCAATGTTGATTCAGGAGTACACAGCATGCGCCAGCCCATTCGATGATGAGCCAATGTCGAATTCGACCAGAACAAATAAGAACTTTTCAGCCTGTGCTTACTGGCCCTGGTCCCGATTATTGAGGACGGGAGTCGCCCAGGAACGGTTCGGTGCCAACCACCTGCACCAGGCACAAGGGCATCCACACGTGTTACATTGGATTGGGAAGAGAAGCCTTCGATCAGAGAAAGACTTTTGCTGCCTGCAGTATTCACAGGCAGACTTCAACGGTATTCTTCAGGGAATTCAACCGACTCTGCTGACCCAAACAAAAGTGGTGGCAGGAGGTGTCGACCTCAGGCTCCGTAGCGCTCGGCGACCTGTAACATGATGGCAGCCTGCCGATGTGAGTTTGATGCACTACAGCCACTCCATGCAGGGCGTGCATCGCTCACCCCAGACGCACCTTGTCCCAGTTGACCAGGTTCCAGAAGTTCTTGATGAAGTCAGGCCTGGGGTGGGGCAGGAGGTTCATGCTTGGGTATTCAGCAGATGTTGATCGCATAGAGGCAGCCCTCCATCCACCTCTGTCACCCGACCCTCCACCTGACCCCCCCAACAAGTGCTCCTGCGCCCATCCTCTTCTCCTGTCCCCAGCCCCCTGCCCCTTTTCCACGCGTGATGCAACCAGTCCTCCCATCCCTGCTCCTCGCACCCTCGTCTGACCTGCGGTTCTGGAAGTCCAGGTAGTAGGCGTGCTCCCAGACGTCCAGGGTCAGCAACGGCTTCTCGCCGTTCACGATGGGGTTGACGGCGTTGGGCGTCTTGCGGATGGCCAGCTTCCCGCCAGCCTCCACCAGCCACGCCCAGCCGCTCCCGAACTGGGTGGCGCCGGCGGCCCCAAACTCCTCCTTGAACTTGTCCAGGCTGCCAAACTCCTTCTTGATGGCCTCCGCCAGCTTGCCAGACGGCTCACCTGCCCGGGCGGGTGGGGGGCCGGGGATCAGCTCAAACATTTCCCTACCGGCTATCAAATGGACCCTGGCATCGGCAGCCCCAGGCGCCCGGTCGCGCTCAAAGCATTTGGAGCAGCCTGCAGAGGGCAGCATCCATGTGCCAGCAGCAGCAAACACCCCTAGCCTGGTCTTTGTCCCAATCTTGCAGGCCGTTCCCCGTTGGGTCCCCACTCTGCTTCAACCCCGGACCTCACCTCCGCCATTGGGGGAGAGGGACTCCCAGAAGAAGGTGTGGTTCAGGGTCTGGGCGGCATTGTTGAACACGGGAGTGGGCTCCCCATTGTTCCAGGACTTGTGGATGAGCTGTGTGGAGTGGGCGGGGTGCTTGCTTGCTGGTGCGCCTGACCCATCCTACAAGGTACTCCAAGTCAGAACTGGCCACTACACATGCATCTGGCACGGAATGTGTGCTCGCTGCGTCAATGCTGGGAAAAAACGCCCGCCCACCTCCTCTAGGCTCAGCTTCTCCAGGTCAGAGCCCTGGATTTGGTTGTTCATGTTGGTGACATATGCCCTGTGGTGCTTGCCCCAGTGGAACTCGAAGGTTTCCTGCACGTTTATGAGAAGACTTGGTATCTATGATGATTGGCAGCAATGGGCCCTGCAGCCATGTCAGGATCTTTCCATGCAGCATCCTCCATGACGAAAGGGATAGCTGGTACCCAGCTCCATCTTCCCTCACCTTGCTCATGCCCTTGGACTCCAGGGAATCCTGCGTACAAAAGTCAAACCTCACTTATATAATTCAAGGGGGGTGTGCAAGCACGGTTTCGGCCTCAGATACGCGGGCATGGGGCCAGGAATAGTCTTGTCCAAAGGCACCTTCCTCCCAGACTCACGATGGGGAAGGGGAGCGGCGGCAGCTCGTGCGCAGCCCTGGGCGCCATCCTGGCAGCCTGATGGATGTGTAAAGAAGGATTTAAGTTTTCACATCGCGAGGCATTCCGGTGTGTCCAGCATGTGCCACCCATTCTCACCCTGCGCTGCTGGCATGGCCGGGTGGTGAGCCCCAGCGGCCTCCCAGTCATCACAAGCTTCTGACTCATTGCATTCATTTGGATCTTGGATCGGAAGGAAGGTGCTATCGTACGTGCGAAACTGGAGTCAGGGATTTTCAGAAAGGGGGTGCGCAGTGTATGTATCTATCTGGATCGCGGTGTTCATCGAGAAGGGCGCCTTCGGCCACCTCCGGGGGGTGAGCATGGGTGCTGCGCCTCCCTCTTCACGCTGGATCTCAAATCGCCACCCCACTCCTGGCACATCCTCGGTGCCGGCATTTCCTTACAGAGTTTGGAAGTGAGAAGGGGATGTTATACTTTGGAAGACATTGGGCGAGGCGCGTGAGTGGTCCTTCCAGGGAAAATCGAGGGACGATTTGATGATGTGGGTGAGGGTGGGCGGGATAGTTCTACGGAAAGAGTAAGGCAAACCAAAACGTGAGAGGGGTACGTGCTCTGCTCCGCTGGTTCCCCTTGCACAGGAGGGGGTCCTCAGGGTTTCGGCGCAGGGCCACGCAAAGAATGAGCAGGGCGAGCAGGTGTGTGAGCTCTGAGGGACGAGCCAGCTGCTGTGGGGGCTTGGAAGGGTGCTGTGTGGAGATGGCCGGCCAGGGCGCGCAATGTCAGCGTGGGCTCGTGTCCCCGGCGCAGAGTCTTGAAAGGGGTTGCGGGTGTGCCTGGCTGGCTGGCTGGCTGGCGTGTGTGTGTGGAGAGGGATCTCCACGGCCGGCCGGCAACTGGGAAGAGCAGGGGCCTCCTCCCAGGCTCGACGGTCGGGCAGTCGGAGGAGACTTCCTCACAGCGTGTTCACGCTCCCCGCCCAGCCCACGTGGGGCGTGTCGAACATGGGCAGGCTCTCCAGCTCGAAGGCCAGCTCGTTGCTGGTCAGGCGCACGCGCCGCGCCGCCAGCGCGCGCTGCAGCCAGGAGTAGTCCAGCGGCGCGGCGGCCGCGGCGCCGCGTACGCGCGGCTGGGCCTGGGCCAGCACCACCAGGCGCAGCGCCGGCAGGGTGCACAGCGCGGCCACGTCGGCGGCCTCCAGCGTCAGCTCCGGCGTGCCGCGGCGCAGCGCGCCGCCCTCGTCCCTCTGGTTGGCCAGGTGCAGGGACTGCAGCGCGCGCGCGGAGCGCAGCGCGCGCGGGAAGGCGCCGAAGCGGTTGCTGCCCAGGTGCAGGGCGGTGACGCCTGCCAGCCAGGGGCCGTCGGGCAGGTCCGACAGCCGGTTGTTGTTCAGCGACAGACGCGTCAGCGTCGTCGCGTCGCGCAGCACGGGGGGGAGCGTGCGCATGCCGCCGCCCTGCGGTCGGGGAGCGAGGTGGGCGTCCCCGTGTGCTCCTGGTACCCGTCCGTGGGTTTTCGTTTGGACATGGGGATTCACCCGGCCGCCCGCGACCCTCCGCATCCTTCCCAGGCCCTGCCTACCCACACCCCCACCCCCCCATCCTCCCTCAACCCCCCCCCATGCACCTGTATGCGCAGGGAGCGGAGCTTGGTGAAGGGCGCCAGCCAGTCCCAGTCCTGGTCGGGGGCGTCAGGCGCAGCGTGCCCCACCATGACCAGCGTGCGGAGGCCGGCCAGGCTTGGCGCCAGGGCCAGCGGCGGCGCCAGGTCGATGTAGAGCGTGCGGAGGCCGGTGAGCGCGTCCAGGCCTGGGGGCGGGGTGGCGGGGACGTCGGCGGGTAGGCACAGGTCCCAGTAGAGGTGGCGCAGGCCCGCCAGGCGACCCAGCCAGCCGGGCACGCAGGTGGCGGGCACGCGGCGCAGCTGCAGCGTGGTCAGCTGCGCCAGGTCGCCCAGGCCGTCCGGGAGCGGGGCGGCCGGGGGCAGCGCGCTGCGCGTGGGCCAGGTCAGCGCCAGGTGGCGCAGCGTGCGCAGCGCGGCGATGGAGGCGGGCAGGCCGGGCGGCGGCTCCTCCAGGTCCGACCGGAAGATGACCTGGAGCTGGGTGAGGGAGGGCACGCAGGCCAGCGCCGCCACGCAGGAGGCCACGCCCCAGTTCCCCGCGCCACCGCGCGCGAGGTGCACCGAGCGCAGCGCGCCCAGCGCGCCGGGGGTGGCGGGCATGGCGTCGAACACGCGGTCCAGCTCCAGCTCTCCCGTCAGGTGCAGGACCTGCAGCGCGGGGGCCGCCGCGATCAGCTCGCAGAGCAGCTGCGAGACGCGCTCCAGCACGGGCGGGCTGGAGAAGAAGGAGCTCAGGTTCACCTCCAGCTCCTGGGGTGGGGGTGTTTGTGTGGGTGGGGCCGTTGCGTGTGTGTGTGTCTGGGTCGGTGCTGGTGTTGGGAGGGGAGGGAGCCCGAGGGGAGGGAGAAGGGCTCCTCCGCTTCATCAGATGAGCAGGTGGGGGAGAGTGGGCGGCCGCCAATCATGGGCCGGCCGCGAGGCACTGGTGGTGTAAGCCTAGGCACAGGCAGCGGCAGAGGTGGAATCCCCCGTCTTGGGAGGCAAATTGGGTAATGTGTACGCCATGCCAGCCTCAGGTGGCCGGTGTGGGGCGTCCTCCGCCTGCCTGGGTGACAGACGAAAACCCCTCCCTGCCATGCACCCCCCCAGTCGGATTCGGGCCCCACACCTTGCCCCGGCCCCAAGCAGTACAGGGGGAAGCACCGCGCACCTGGACGTAGAGCCGGGCCCTCTCCTTGAACCACCTCAGGAGGGCGTCGGGCTTGAAGCGGCGCAGGGGGAGGATGCAGGCATCCACAATGCGCACCCGCCTGAAGAACACCTTGCCGGCAGCGGGGCTTCGGATCAGCTCGTTCCAGGCCTTGCACACGAGGGGGGCCACGGTGCGCAAAGGATTGCACCCGCCATACTCCCTCCAGATGAGGGGCCCGTCGGATGGCTGGGAGGTGAGGTAGGCCTTCGACAGGATGTCGATGGCCACCCTCTCCGGCAGGCGCTCTATCATGAGATCAGCGGCAACCTCATGCCCTCCCCCGGTGATACGGTGGTCGGGACCTGGACTAGCTGCTTTGCCATCGCATTCCTCTGGGGAACCGGGCTAGGAGCCTGATGGTCGTGTAAGCATGGGGCTGACTACCCCGCGCCTTCTTCATGGGACTGGAAAAGATGGGTCACGGGATACGAAACGCTCTACACCGGGTTGCAACCAGGGGCTACAGCCACAGCTGCGACAAGATTGTGACTTGCATCCCCGGCACGCACATCACTCTGCTGGTTTGGCACCGGCCTTGTGCGCCTCCAGGGCCATGAGAAACGCGGCCAGCACGTCTGGGTTCCTGATGCGCAGCGCAAACGTCGACAGCTGGCCCTCCCGCGCGGGAGCAGGCGCCCCCTCGCCCGCCGCCTCCCCGTCCTCCCCAGACACAGCATTGATGACCGCGAATGTTACGCCCTGGACCGCAGGGATCGGAGGAGGTGAACTTGCTGGCGGTCTTGAGGTCCCCGGCGCGCCATGCCGCCATCAGCCTGAGGCATGGACCCACTGTCTCAACGAACTGCCCAGACCCCTTCTGCACCCATCCCCGCCACCCACCTTTCCGCCCTCCATGCGCGCCGCCGGCATGTCCGGCCAGAGATTTGCGTTCATCAGCAGACGAAGGTTGCCTCGCTGGCGCATCACCAGCCGGCCCTGCAAAGGGGGAGGCAGGCTCTCTCTTATTGCCATGTGCTTGCAACAGGGCGTGCGCAAGCTGGCAGGCTTGATCAGGTCAACACAGGTTCTCACTTTACCTCAGGTAGAGCTCAGGCTCCACCTGCCACCTAATGTATCAACCCGGCCCACTTGCGCAATCTTCCTTGCAGAGCCACAGCACCAACCCCAGCCCGCACCTGCTTGCTCTCCTTGCCGAGGTTGACCCGCATCTCCCCGGAGCCCCGCTCCCGCCACTGCTTGGAGGCATCGAACTCAAAGAGAACGCCATCCCCAGAAAAGACCGTGGTCTCATCCTCCTCCCCGGTCGCTTGTGGCACCTCAGCCGGGAGGGACGCCACTGGAGTGAAGGCTGATTGAAGGGATTTGGCAAGGGGAGGTGGTGGTTGAGCTTGACTCTCTGCAAACGAATGTATGAGCGTGGCGCGGGCCAGAAATGGGATAATGACGGCATGCAAGGTGTGGCAAGCCCCAGGGCAGGCACGATGGCAGATCCTGCCTTGCTATTCGAGTGATTATGCGCCCCATCCACCGCCCAACTACCCTTCTACAGGACCATGACCCTCACTTGGGGAGGCTGGAGCGCCGTTGCTGTCTTGCTCGCCTGGGGAGGCTGCCTTGTCTGAATGGGGGCTGGCTGCCGTCGAGGGGGCTGCAAAACTGAATGCAGGTGCCGACCCGCCAGCGAAGCTGAACATGGGTGTGGCTGCGGCGCCTGTCCCGGAGGCTCCTCCAAACGCTGCACCAAAGGAGAAGGCTGGCGCCGTTCCCTTGGACGCTGCGTTGGCGGGAAGGGGAGGGAGACAGCCTCAGCATTTACTTCAAGGCCCGCTGCAACACTCCACCCCGGAATCCTCTGTCCTGCTAAACCATGCATGTACTGCACACGCCTTGGCCATCGCCAGCCATTCAATTTCCGCGCAACACTCCCGCTCACCAAGCGAGCCAAAACCGCCGCCCGCGCTTGCTGATGCCAATCCTCCTCCAAAAATGGAGGACACTGCGGGTGTCGGGGCCGCCGGGGAGGGCGCAGCCTGGGCCTCCGGCGTCGGTGCAGCAGAAGCCACTGCGTCGACAGGGGCTGTCTCCACGGCAGGAGCTTCTGGGGCTGCACTCCCAGGCGTGGTTTCCTTGGTACCAGATGCCTCTGCAGTGGTAACAGGTGCCTCTGCAAGCGCACTGTCGGGTACTGCTGTTGCCACATCCTCGGCTCCTTCCACATCACCCTGAACCTGGCTGTCCTCGCCAGAGCCCACCGAAGGGGCCGCTGTCTGGGCTGGAACAGGTGCTGGGGCTAGCTGAATTCCTGCAAAAGGGTTCTCAGTAGCTGGGGCCAGCTGGATGCCAGCGAAGGGGTTCGCAGGGGATGCTGTGACTGCAGCGCCTGCAGGGCCCTGGGCTGGTCGTCGTGCCTTGATGATCTTGCGCTGCTTCAGGACCTCATCCGATGCTCGCTGGAATGTTCCGGGCTCCTCCTGGAACGAGAGGATTGGGAGGGCGTCTCATGAGCAGGGCTCTGTCCACCTCGTGGTCTGGGCGGTCGGATGGGGACAAGCTCAGCAGCAGGGAACCGCGACAGCCCCAGGCACCCAATCCCCACACACATGCTCCTCGGCAGACTCCTCTCCCTCGTCCTTGGTGATCTGTTTGTCAGATCCCCGTTTCTTCGCCGAGGGCTCGAGGTGGTCAGTTGGCCGCTTGCCGGACATTGTGTCCCGCAACTCTTTCGAACGCGGGTCCCTCGGTTCAAAATCTAGACGACAATTGCGATCAAGCAATGTTCCTGATTGCACACGATCTTTGCCGCATATTCCGCAGGGCTGGGTGGTGCTCGCGCCTTCCCTACTTGATTCGTATTGAGGTCGACATTCTCCTTGCACCCCCGTCCGGTGGGCACGGTTTCAGAGGGAAATACATTCTTAAGCATGGATCAAATCAAAAAGCGGGCAGCAAACTAACAGCAATGATGGTCCAAAAGTGCACAATGAAGGCCTGGGTCTCCCCGGCGTGCAGAGTGACAAGCGGAGGCGGCCATGTGGCACCCTCCTTCGACAACATACCATCCACACAGCAAGCTCAGCATCCATCACAGCGCCACAGACACCGACTCGGGAGGGTGCTGGCGGTCCCCCTCCACCTTGCCCCCCACCGTCCACACAAGGGAGGGGGAGTGCCTGCCGGGGTCAAGCGGGGGCCAGCCCCTGGCCGCAACCCAGCACTCCAGGGCATCGCGCATCCAGGCGTACCGGCACCTGGCAGGAGCCAGCTTCAGGGGGACCCACTCACGCACGCGCTCCTCCGATTCCGGCCAGCTCTGCAGTTCCTCAGAGACGTGCAGGACAAACATGAAGGCGGCGCCCCGCTGCGGCTCTCCGCCCCGCCCCAGCTTGGAGGAGGAGAAGTCGAAGCGACCCAGGCCGGGAGTCTGCAAGGGGGGATGGGCGGAGGGGGCGGTGATGCTCGGCTACTGTTGCCATGGCCCTCGAATCTGTTCAGGCGGCTGATGTGTGCTCGAGCATGCAAGCTGGGGCTTTGCCTGGGCTTGGGTGCGCTGCTGCAGCTCCAGGCTTCCAAGCACCAGGAAACGGAGCGAGAGTGGGTGCCGTTTTCCCACCAGGCCCATTGTGCCGACTGCCCCCCCGCATGCAGCGCACACAGCCTGATGTTTCCCAGCAGCATCCCACCTCAAGCGTCCCCCTGACACCAGCCTCCTCCACTGTCTCCCGTCGGGCAGCATCCTCCAGGCTCTCGTCCAGTTCCCAGCCTCCCTGGATGTGAAGTCAGGCCAAGGTCATGCGGTGCAGATGAGGGGAGACCCTGCAAGCCGACTTGCGCTCATCACCTGCCCTTGCCACCACGGCGCATCATACCTTTGGGAAGGCGTAACCTTTGCCTGCCCGGCTTGAGACCATCAACACGAGAGCGGTGTCCGTGCTCTGATGAGGCGAGGTCCAGCACACAGGTATGCAGCTGCAGGGAACAGGAAGATGGGGAGAGGAAATTTTAACAGTGTCTGGCTGGAGGGCAGTGCAAGCTGTAAGCATTGCATTCCAACAACCCATCTGCATTCCTTCTCAGCAGAAAGCAGCAGTAGAAGCTGTCAAATGAGGACACGTGCAACCGCCCCGGGCTTCGACGCATCACGGAGGAGCCGCACAGGCCACTCACCCTGCCACCAAGCGCTCCCCAAGCTCTCCGTAGCGTTGGTTATCCCTGCCCTGACGGGCCGCAAGGGGCTGAGGTCCTCCCACTAGTAGGGGCATGGTACAGGTTTCTACACGCGTGAGCTCAGCGGCGCCCTAGCAAAGGAAGTTGCGGCGCATTGCAGCTCCGGAGGTCGGCAGCCGGCAAGGGCCGACAGCGAGAAATTGAGACAGACGGGTCTTGGTCTAAGCTGTCGCCGGCTGTGGAGGGCCCCTCGCGCAACCAAGCCACCTTCTTGTGAGGTATATGGAACAACTGGCTGGTCCCGGCGATGGACCGTTGAGAAATGTTCTGGCGAAGGTGAACCTCGGGATGTGTCGAAAATCGAGGGGGGTTTCGAGCGGGAACGCTCAGCTCGTGCACCTTGCACTCGGGCTGCGTGCAGAACAGGTCGAATAGCTCATAAGTATGTGCAGGGCGCTGCCGACAAAGCGGGGTGGCAGGCATCAGGAGGAGCTGCCGTGGACGGTGAATGTGCATGGACATGGCCGTCCTTTCCTCCACATCGTCTCTGCAAAACTTCGTGATATGAAGTAGAGCAGCTGGGGTTGCTGGCCATCGGCATCTCCGGAAACAAATCTTTGCCGGGGTCCTGGGCGGTGAGAAACTGGTGGGTGCGGACCAGAGTAGTTTGCCCAGCCGACTTGTGCCCAACCTTGCGTGAGCTCACGCGCACCTGCCCCGGGCATCCGGCCAACGAGCGCTCGACGGTCCTGCACCGCGCACGAAAGCCATCCTCGGGACTCATAATCGTGCGACAAGGCTCAATCAGCCCTCATTGAGGGCTCGAGACCGGGTGAGTGCTGGGAGCGGGTGACGTTGGGGGAAGGTTGGCAGGGACCACTCGCCACGAGCGAGGGTGCCCAGAGGCCTAAACCGGCACACAGGGTGCTTCACTGGGTTTCGTACCGTGTCCTATGGCATACCGCATGGCGCGAGCGTGGCCGCGCCCTGGCGTCGTGACATCCCGGGTCGGGGGCGCCCCGAACAGCCAGCGACTGCCGCACCCAATCGCCGTCGCAGGAGTATGCTCAGCGGCCGGAGATGAGCAACAGCGCGAAGCCCCTCGTGGCCTGGGCCAGTGATGAGGCTCGGCGGTTCTTCCGCGCCTTCCACAAGTATGGGACCGAGTTTGACAAGGTAGGCCGGCATGGGAAAGCTGGGGACACGTGTATGGGCAGCCTCCTGCATGCCAGTGCTGGTCCACTGGCTCATCCTGACAGCTCTGGGCCGAGGCGGACCACCCGGCTCATTCCTCGTTCGGTGACCTGGGACTGCACGAGTGTCACTCCTCCCTCCGGGCATCCCCCCGCCCCCATGGACGCGCCCTCGACCCCGTCGCCAACCCTGCCGCGCCCAGGTGTCCCGTGCGGTGGGCAGCGGCCGGAGCCCGGAGCAGTGCGAGGCCCTGCATCGCCAGCACCAGGCCTTTCTGTCCCTGGACAAGAAGTTCCAGTCGGAGATCGTGTTCATCGCCATGGTGGAGGATGCCAGCCAGCACCTCATGAAGGCAAGCTGTGAAGATGTTTCTTGGGAGGGAGAGGGGAAGGGGGGAAAGGCGACGAGAAATTAGTTGGGAAGGGGTGGTGGAGACGGGAGGTGGGAGCTTGCATGCTGCGTGTGCACCCATGACTGGCCCCCACCAGGGCGTCTGCCCCAGGTTCTCACATCGAGCTGGGGTCGCTGCCTGCTCCTGGTATAGCATGGATCCTTCCACCCACACACGCCCCGCCACTCCCTTCCCGCTCCGCGCCGCAGACCGAGGACAGCGATGGCAAGGACGGCCGGGAGCGGTCGTCTGGGGCGGGGAACGACGCCAGCGACCCGGGCGTGGGGTCGGAGGCCACTCCCGCGCCCAGCAGCAGCGGCCAGAAGGCCACCGGCGCCGCCAGCGGCAGCAACGCGCGCGGGGGGGACGCAGACGCCGACAGCGTGCTTCGCGCCTCGGAGGCCGGCAGCGGCGCCGCGCAGGATGGGGCGCCGCAGCAGCGGACCCTGGCGTCCACGCGTGCACGGCGCACGCCGCGCCCCTCCGTCATGTTGACGCCGCAGCGCACGCCGCAGCGCGCCAGGGTGAGCAGGGGGGCTTGGTGTCGGATGGGGCGTGCTGGGCGTCGCCGTCGCCGCGCCTTGGGAATCATCCTCCAGCGCTCGAGGCCCGCTGGCCGTGGCGCGGAGCGCCTGTCCACCCGGCTCCACCCCCACGCCGCTCCACCCCCACGCCGCTCCACCCTCACGCCGCTCCACCCCCACGCCGCTCCACCCCCACGCCGCTCCACCCGCACTGCCGCTCCACCCCC